CATTTTGACCTCCCACAAAGAAAAGAACAAAAAAAAAGTCCAAATTCGTCACATACAAGTTTCTGGTGAAATACGAAACAAAGGTGACGAGTGGGGGGAATTGGAAGATTAGCATATTACAGATCATTTCCATATGCTGACGAACAAAGCACGACCCAAGGCAACATATATTTGCATAACGCCTTCTACACTCAAAACAAAATGTATGTTCGAGAGTATCAAAAATCTGCCAGGTTCTTGATGAGTATTGGGTTGTCATTTTGTAAACTGTAGCTATAATTTGAGAATAATAAATTCAATTCTCAAATGCCAAAGTTAAAAGTGGGAAATTTTGTATACTTTAATTTTATTAAGAAAGTTTTTAACAATAAGCAACGCTTAAGGATATATCCATGTTTCTTAAATGATGAAAGTATACCTGAAATTAAATAATTGAATACGATTCTTTTCAGTAATGCGCAAATATAAAAGTAATTACTGAAAATATGTAATAACTAATAAATATTTAGGGGTTATAGATATGTCAGTTATTACTGAAAAATATGAAATAGTTAAGATATGTTTAGGGATTATAGTTGAGCAATTATTTCTTAAAGTCACTCATTACAACTAATGGCGAGTGTTTCCTGTGCAACTTTTTAATTCTAGTTTTTAGGTTGATTTCTTTAGCGCGATGTTCTTTTTCTCAGTGTAGTCACCAAACAGTCGTTGACTCGTCTTTTGGCAGCAGTGGCTCACGTGAAGTGTGATATCTGGATTGCTGACGACCCAAGCTAGCCAAAGTTAGTCAGTTAGTCAGTCAATCAGTCGTTTAATCAGTCAGGCAGAGAGTTCGAGTCTACGTGCTTATTTCATTGATTTGAATGCACTCGGTCAATGAATGAAAGTCGACGAGTCCATCTTTTGTTTATCGGCAGCTGGCCAAAGCGTGGCTAGGACGTGCTTATATATATATATATATATACAACACTGATCAGTAAGTGATCAATTGTGAATGACGTTACGCGGTGCATGAAAACGTGTCTTGTTACGCAAACTGATGACGCCAAAGAAGTTGTGGCAGTGCACAAGTGACCCATTTCATATTCGGTTATTAGCGCGAAATTGGTAATGAAATTGGCAACACTTTTACGACGGCTAACACATACAATTGGCAACGCCCGACATTAATTGGCTGGCCATTCGTTCGACTTGCTTCCGCCGGCGTCATCTTCGCCGTCATCGTCATCATCGTCGTCGTTGTTGCCAGCAGTGCTGTGCTGCCTCTAATTGCTCACATTGCACAAATCACACAAATGCTTTCAATTACATGGCACAGACACAGGCGCCGCCAAGTGAAACGAGCGACGCCTGGACAAATATTAAAAAACCAACAAATGTACACCCTGTCTCCATATATACATATGTACAGCAAATGTGTTTTGTTTTTTTTTTATTTTGTTTGTTTACCCCGTAAACCTTACAACAACAAAAAAAAAAGTATATGTAAATGGGGTATTTTAAAGTTGTTGAAATGTAGTAGGCAGCAGAGAACTTTGGTGGATTTATATATATATATATATTAATGATCAGCGTTAGCACCCAAGTCTGTCCTTAAATCTCAGTCACTTTGAGAGATAAGTATAAGTATATTTTCGAATATTAGAATAAGTAAAAGTTGAAGTACACAAGAATTAGTAAAAGTATATGTGCAGATACAAGTATAAGTATACATTTAATTAAAACTATAACTTTAGGTACAAGCTCTCGCTTATACATACATACATAAAGTTTATAATCCAATCTATATTGTTGATCAGCAGTAAAAGACAGATCGATCTAGCGCTGGAGTATAAATTATATGTTCTAATATAAGAATAAGTAAAAGTACAAATATCAGCATACTTTGTAAGTTTACTTCCAAGTATAAATATACGTTATAAGTATAACTATAAATATAAGTAAAATCTCTCGTATAAAAAGGAAACTTACTTAGCTGTTCTCATCTCATAATCATAGCCGCAATTTCAGAGATAGAGCCCGATTCGACAGAAATAAACCTTGGCAAAATGTTGATCAACTGCAGAAATTAAGAGCATTTGAGAAATATATAATTTAATTATAAAGATCCATGTTCCTATTAACTAAAGCGAAAGACTTATAAGTAATAAGATAGATAAATTCATGTTTACAGAGTAACTCACAGTCAAATTCTTTAGACTCGAGCTTTCTAAGTTTTTGTATTACTTCTTGTTGCTGTAGTGTTTTTTTTTTCTTATTTCTTTTTTGAATTTGTTGTCATATTAAAACCAGATTTGCAATCAAGTCGGGCACGAGCATGACTCACAAGCCGGCGCAAACCAAAAAGAATAAATAATAATAATAATACAAATAAAAACAAGTGAGAACGTAACGGGCGAACGGGCGTAGCCGACTACGAAATACTCTGATACGACAAGTAAAGCCATCTGATGACGAGTGCCACAGAACAAGTTGGCTGTAGTCAAAAATTTCCGATCTTTGAGGGAGATTTCTAGTTTCATTTTCAAATATTTAGAGGCGGGGGCCTAACCTTAAAATTGTTGGAGATATGTGGCTTGCTCGATTTTTATCGATTTCCTATCGTCCTAGTGGATGTAGCACTCCTTGTCTGACATGGGCACAGACCATTTTATGTTCCAAGTTTCAAGTCTGCTCTATCTCGAAGGAGTGGGTGACGTACATTATACAAAACCAATATACTGTGATGCTTTCGATATCAGAGTATAATAAGAAACGCCTGCGACGACACCGACGAATAATAATAAGTATACAAACTTTGGCTATAACAATAACAACAACAACTACAACACAAAACGTGTTTGCATAAGCAACAAATGTGGGGATTTTTTTTGGTTTTTTGTTTTGTTGTATTTGCTTTGCTATTGTGAGTTGACCAATTCAAATGTTCGACTTTTCAACTGGTTAGTTGGTTGGTTGGTCAGCTAGCAGTTCTTGACGCGATCGCCCTTCTGCGTGCGCGAATTGTTTGGGTGATTAAGCAAAGTTTTCGCAATGACTTGACGAGATTGGGAAGCGCTTCACATTATCAATGGTCGCTCACTTGCAGTTCACAGTTTTCCCCTTTTTCCCATTTCTGCCAATTAGCTTAGGTCGACGAGAGTTTATTTAGCTTAGCTGTACCCTGCTTTGCCTTTGATTAAAGATCACTCTAGAAAGAGTGAGGGCAGACGGGGAACAAACCGACAAAAGCAGACAAGCAAACAAGCAGCAACATAAATAAATAATAAAAAACAGAAAGCAGAACACAGAACACAGCTTACAGAAGATGAGCCCACAGCAAAGAAAGCCCCAATGATGAACCCCCAACTGCAAAAACAAAAACAAAATACAACAAAAAGAAGAAAAAAAAACAACGCTTGGACAATGTTGTCTTTTGAGCGACGACCGGAAATGTGCAATAAAATTTGAATGTTTCTTTATTATTATCATCATCCCCATCATCTTCCGCTGCAACAGGCAGCAGCCCAAAGAGTCCCACTGCGATTATTGTTGTTGTTTTCGGTCCACTCCGGTCCGGTCTGTTATTTCATGTCTTTTTCTTTCTTTTTTTTTATTTGCTACGCAGTTGCAACTGCGTCCAGTCCACTCCATGAGGTATCGGAGAGCAACCAGTTTGTTGTTGGGCACCTTTCGTGACGCAGGCGCACAAAAATAATAATAATAAATTGCAGCCAGCGGTGACGTTACCAAAAACAGGACCACAACAACTGGTTCTTCCGTCACAGCACATCCACATCCACAACCAGGGGCACAGGCACAACGATTGCCGCCTCCAACTCCACCAACGCCAGCCAGCACGCCTCCTTCATTCATTCATTCATTCATGCGTTCGACGCCTTGGCGGCCAAAGAGGAGAACCAAACCAAACCAAACCAATCTGAACTGAACTGAACCGACAACGCTGCTCGAAATGTGCAGAAGTCGTTTGACGGGTTTTTTTCTGTTATTTTATTTTTATTTTTGGCCTGGCTCCCCCTTTCAATTTGGGCTCCAAGACGCGCTTTCGAGTGGCCCGAGCGTAATTTTGAACTTTATTTTTAACTCCGTTTCCTGAGAGACGCAGCGACGCAAAACTGAAACAGAAAACTGCACTGTACGTAAAAATTGGAGTATGCATTTCTGGGGCGTAGAGAAGGGAAGGGTATACACTGTACGGTGCTAGTTGGTAATATGTTTGATGCCCACGCAGCACCTTTGGCTTCCCACGCCAAGCTCGAACGCAAAAACCCATTTTGAATGCCGGGCACGTTTGCCCAGACTTGCGCATAGCGTTTTGCTCAGTGTAAACGCTCCACTCACACCAAAAAAGCACACACAAATACACACTCACACGCACACTCACAAATTCCCATGATCGTAGAAAAACTAGTTTTCTTAACCAATTTTTATTGTGATTCGGAGTTTCGATTGTGTTTTTTTTTTAGTTTTCTGGCTTATTCGCCATTGTCACTGTTTGTTGGGCTTTTATGCATAATGTGTTGTTGTCTTTGTGGTGCCCACCTCCTGGCCGGGCCTGTGTCTGTGTCTGGGTCGCTCACCGTTGCCGTCGCAAGTTCGAAAGCTCCGTTCATTCGATTGAGCGGAAATTCATTGAAAAAAAAAACGAAAGACTTAGGCAACAAACTTGAACATGACTGCGACGCCGGCAGAATCCCCAACTCCATGTGATTCATGACGCCCACATCAGCGTTGCTCATAATCAAAATTCAAGACAGAGCGAGTGAGATCGGTTGTGGCTGAGAGAGCGAGTGAGATAGAGAGAGAGAGGGAGAGGGAGAGGGAGAGAGACGAAAACCGCAGTGAAACAAATTAGAGGATTAGAGTGAGAGCCATTCTTAAATTTATGGTCTTTAATTGAAATGCGATTTGGCCAGCCAAAAATACAAAAATGAAATCTTAAAATCAATATCAAAGCCGATAACTTGTTTTCTAATGTCCAGTTTGCTTAATCATTGCAGAAACGCGCCTCACATCAAAAGAGCTGCCAACCGCCAAGTGGCGACGCGAACGTCGTCAACGAGCCGCCGCCGCCGAATATCAAGTTCATGATGCTGGCAGCGACAGGGAGCGTGAGCGGGAACGGGAACGGGATCGCGAACCCGACATGGACAGCCCCATTGATATGTCCGTGACGTCGAGCACGGTGAAGCATCAGCGCGCCTCGCCGCCGCCACCGTACCGCGAGCCACAGGGCGGTGCGGCTAGCAGCCATTGCTATGCGGCCAGTCGGCCCAGCGTTATCACGCAAGCGCCTCCAAAGAGGGAACAGCCGGAGCATGTGCATCATCACCACCACTCGCACTCCAGTCGCGAGCATGACAATCGCAGTACGGGTAGGTTGCACCCCACAAACAAAACTCAGCTTGTTACCCATTTTAATGTGCGCCTCTTGTTTCCATGTTGCAGAGTCCGTTTCGATTTGTGACATCGATGAGCATTTTCGGCGCTCCCTGGGACCGGACTATGCAGCGCTGTTGAAATCACCAACATCTAGTTCGCCCACATCGTCGCCACAACCACAACCACAGCCGCAGCAGCAACAGCAGCCGTCACAACCGGTGGTGGTGGCTAGCAGTGGAACACCCATGCAGCAGATCTCGCCGCAAGGCTATCGTCAGCATCAGCCTACAACTTACCAGCAACAACATCACTCGCCGTTGCCGCTGCCACTGCCCCTGTCCAAGCTGGGCTTGTCCATCGTGCACTCACCCACGTTGCACTCGGCACCGGTATCACCACAGCACGAACTGCCGCCGCCACAGGAGGAGCCACTGTCCCTTACACCGCCGCCCGTTCGAGCAGCATCCGCATCCGCATTGACAGCTTCCTCACCGCCGCCGCAACAGTTGTTGCATCCGTCGCCGCTGTCGGCGACAACGTCAGGCGCCAGCCTTATTTTAGATATGCCCGTAGCGAAGAAAGAGAGAGCCCTGGACACGCCTCATCATACACCGCCCAGATATAATACACCACCGCCCGCCTATGGCAGTGTGCTGGCACCGTCGACGCCAACGCCAACGCCGCCCACAATGCCAGCAATAATACGTGTGAAAGCTGAGCCGGGATTAGCCGCCGCATCATCGACGCATACGCCGCCCGCCTCGCCTACCTCATCCACAAACATTTCGATATTCACCAAGACTGAGGCGTCTGTGGACGATCACTTTGCCAAGGCACTGGGCGACACTTGGAAAAAGTTGCAGGGACAAGGCAAGGAATAGACAGACGGACAAACAGACACAGAGAGAAAGAGAGAGATGCAAATGCGAGGACCAACTCAAAATGCTGTTCTGATTTCAAACTACACAATTGATGTTTAAAGATCTCAAATGATGATGATGTGAAAAATTCTTCAAATGCGAGTGTATTACAAGTTTCTTATTATGATTTTATTAATGAATATACATAGATATGGAAAAGCGTATACGTACATGTGACAAAATTGGTATTCTTAATGCATAGTTGCATAGATAGACTAATCCTTAATATATATATATATATATGCATACATATATAGATGTATATATATTTTAATATGTGTCTATATATTTTTATATATTGATTTCATAATTCTAAATTGTGAACTTAATGTAAGCTTATGGTTATCCAAATGAATCCTATACAACTTAAAACTAACGAGTGACAAACAAACACACAGTACTCTCTAACATGCACTCTATTATTACTTAAGTGAAATCCTACAATAAACATTAAAAATTAAAAGAAAACCATTTTTGAGTATTTTACTTTCAAAGTCCGATATCGGGAGCCCGCGTGTTTTGCCAATTCAAACTATCAGCGTAATTTGTAACGTTCTGGCAACACTGTGGATTGTACATAACGACTTGCCTGACTCAACTATCGTATCCAACTATCGACTGCCAGTGTAACCACATTAAATGATCTGGATATAAATGCTTGTGCAGCTGAGCTGCTAATAACAATAATTCTTATTATTTATTACACGAGTCGCATTTATAATTACTTTAACCTGTAATTAATCTTAGTTACAGGCCTTTTTGCATTTTTAATTCAAAAATGCTCGCATCATTGTAAGCCCATATTGTGTACCTATCGATATCGATAACACAATTATTGGCTGCCAGTGTGTACGCGTATTCGGCGAGAACGTACCATTGCAAAACTAAACTTTCTGCATAAAACATAAAAAAACATTCAGCAAATGAAAAACATTACAATTAAGCTATTCCATTAAGAGTTAAAATAGACGTACATGTGCATGCGTTGCGTTTAAAGTTACCAGTTCGTGTTTGTGTGTGTGTAAAAAGCCAAAAAAGACCGAAGGCGAACGAGGGGCGAAGACGAAGAGAAAATGTCACGCAAAGCAGCAGCGACAGAAAAAGAGTGAAGAAATTACATTTTGGGGGAAGGAAAAGCGCATGAAAACTCAACAATAACAATATTAAAAGACTCGCTCTGTGCGAAAAAAAGGCGCAATTCCAATTCCACTGACAATGCTTGCCCCATGAAAACCAAAGAATTTGTATTGAATAGACATTGAGAGAGAGAATCGAAATTGAAAATAACGAGTTGTTGTTGTTGCTGTTGTGCAGTTGTGCAGTTGTAACTCAAGCAGGCTCAGACACCTGCAAACGCAAGGAGGAGCGATGAAAACAACTGAACTGATCCTGGGGAGGCGCCTAACCACCACAACTGTTCTCGTACAGTACTCGTACTCGTTCCTTGATTTGAATGTCGTCGTCGACGCCGTCGTCGTCGCTGGTGGGTTCTGAATTTGTACTCGGTTGCAATTGGAACTGGGATTGGGATTGGGACTGCGATAGCGTTAGCGATTTGCACTCCTCCTCATTGACACAATGCAAAGTTTGGACTCATCATGCCAAGAAGCAGATGTAAGTATTTCTTGAAATGTATGTGATCGCAACAATAGCGAGACGAGAGCGTAGAGAGAGAGAGCACAATTTTAAATTTTGTGGCACTTAAATCGTATTTTACATGTTCACACAGCTATTCATAAATGACACGCTTAAGAAGCTAAAAGGCGACAACCCACTGAATGCGAGTGCTCAGGGCCTGACCCATGCCGTTGGCTCGGCCGTTCAACAGCAGTTTGTCTATCAGACGCAGACGCAGAGTTCACAGGCGTCGCCACAGCCACAACAGTCACTGGGTCAGCAACAGCAGCAGTCGTCGTCGTACCATCAATTACATCCGGTGCTCCAGGCCTCAGCATGCTCACCCACGCTTGCCATCAACAATAGCCAGCAACAGCAGGTGCCAAGTGCTCCGGTTACGGTCAGCGTGCGATCGTATGTGGAGCCAAACTTGCTGCAGGCGATACCTCAAATACCTGCCCAACCGCCAATCTGCATATTCGATGATGACGAATCGCCAACAGATTTGGGTGCGGGTGGTGGCAGCATTGTCATACTCACGGAACAGCCGCACCATGGTACAGGAACGGCGATTGCGATAGCTCCGTCACCGTCATCGTGCTCCTCATCGACAACGACACTGTCAAATTTGAACTCGATCACGTCCCCATCGCCGATAGTTCCTGATCTGTTGTTGTCAACGCCACCGGGTGTTAATTCCAGCTTAAATAATAATAGTAATAGCACCACCGTCACCAATTCACATATTTTCCAGCATCTGCAGCAACAGCAGCAGCAGCACCTGCAGTCCCACAGCATAAGCAACAACAACAATAACAATAGTAAAAAAGCTGACAGACGGCCAGCCTCAAGTGGCTCAAATGCATCGTCGGGCAGCGGCAGCAGTCATCATCAACACCAACACCACCACCATCATCACCAGCAGCACCAGCCGCACCTCCAACAGTCCCAGCCGCATAACCACAATGTCCTCTCATCGCCCACATCGTCGCCAAGCAAGCGACAGAAAAACAGCAGCAGCAGCAGTAGCAGCAACAACAATAACAACAAGGAGTGCAGTTCCTCTAGTCGCAACACAGCTCCAACGACCGCATCATCGCGTGCTGCCGCCGGAGCTGGCTCCAACAATACTATCAATGCCAGTAGCAATGCATCATCATCATCCACCACCGCCTCCACATCCAGCACCAGCAAGCGAGAAACGCCAACAAAGTTCTTTAATATACACGACAAAATCAAGGAGCTATATGTGCAATTGCTCAGCAACGATTTGAATCACTTTACGGAAACCGGGGTAAGATTGCAAGCAGTGTAATATGTACACCAAATAAACAATATTATTTATGAATTGCAGCTAAAGCAGCGAAGTCGGTCATTTATACTGGAACGACTTGTGGAGTGCGAACGATTGAACACCATTGTTGTCAACCTGTATCCTGGCAATAAGGGCTACTCCCTGGCACTGCACTATGACGAGCAAGCTATGCTTAATCCACACACAAACGAATGGATTGTCGCGGACAGCGCCCACCATCTGCACGGCAGCGAGAATGCAACCGACAAGAGCACCACCAACACCACCAGTCGGAGCAAAGCGCAAAGCGCCGACAGCGATGCGAGTAACCCGTTCCGCACAAAGGCGAGACTGACCGAAAACAACGATGCCAGCGGCGGAGATTCAGCGTCTGCGCCAGCATCATCGGGATATGGCCTGGTTGAGGTGCTGCGCTGGCCGTATGAGAACGATTTGCTGTTGCAGTGCATCGATCGCGAACTGCTGCCCGAGTTCCTCATGGATCTGCTGAGCGCGGACACCGTCAGCCTGAGCTCACCCCAAGATGGCAGCGAGGGGTCGCGGGTGTATGCCAAGCCCAGCGTCTTTTATGCTGGCTGTGTAATTGCGCAGATACGCGATTTCCGCCAGACGTTTGCCACCTCAACAAATATCTGTGATATGAAGCACATCCTGCTGCGACCGAGCAATGCCACGCTATTCGCGGACGTCCAGCAGCTGGGCAGCTCCCTGGGTTGGGCGGGCGCAACGTCCGAGGATCGGCTGACACTCGAGAGTCAACTGGTGCTGGCGACGGCGGAGCCATTGTGCCTGGAGCCAGATCCAAGCATTGGCCGGCAATCAATCAATGCGCAGCACGAACGCCAACGCTTCAACTCGCACGAAATGCGCCGCCAAATGAAGAAGTTCACCCAGGTGGCCATCAATCGCAAGCGTAAGCTCGATCAGTTCACGCATCATCAGGGCCTCGAGCTGTGCGACTATCTGACGCGTCTGCGCCAGCGGCCGCGCACAAGTAGCAGCAATCAGGCGAACGCCACACCCGCGACGGCGCCCAGCAACAATCCGTTGGTGGGCGCCATGCTCTCCTCTTTCACGTCAAAGGTGCCGCGACGACCGCACGAGGTCATCCGACCCATAAGGCCGCCCACTCTCGACTATCCGGCGAATCTGAAGGTGCCCGAGCACGTGATCAGCGTGGAGAAATATGCCAAGACTTTCGAGCCACTCAGCGAGTTCAGCGATGCGTGCAAGGAGCGCTGCCAGCCAAATTGTCGTCACAGCTTTCAGCCGCAACTCATCGAGGAATATGTGCTGGAGACGGAACGGGAGGCCAGCGAGGGACGGCGTGCTCTCTATCACATCAAGCTGTCAATTTACCAGCGTCCCTCCGATGCCGAATATCTGGGTGAGCTCTATGTGGATCGCGACTATCGCGAGGGCGAGCGCAATGGGGAGTCGTGCCGCTTTGCGCTGGGCACCCGCGTCCATGCGAATCGCTATATTCAGCAATTCCGCGAGATATTCACTGAGGAGGGACGCAAGGCTGTTAAAATTACGCATCTGATACCTGGACATGTGCCAATTGTTACCCACACTGGACTAACCAATGAGCAGCGATTGCTATTGCAGCAGCAACAGCAACAACAACAGCAGCAACAACAGCAGCAGCAACAACAACAGCAGCAGCAGCAGCAACGACAAGTCCAGTTTACTCAGCAACAGCAGCAGCAGCAACAACAGTTACCTGCCACAGTGCATCATGTGGCGCAAACGCATCCGAATGTCACTTTGTCCCGTCAACCAATTATCGCCAAGGCAGTCAACAACACGATTAGCATGCAGCAAACGTTTCGACAGCAACAACAACAGCAACAACCACTTGCCACCACTCAATTTAACGTTGATGGTGCACTTCAAATTCAGCAACAACAACAACAACAGCAGCAACAACAGACGCAGCTTGTCAGTGGCAATAGCAATGTGGTGCAGCAGCAGGCGCCGCAACAACAACAACAGCATCAGCACATACATCTGCTTACCACCAGCGGCAATGCAACGAACACCACCGCACATCAGATGAGTCTGGGCAACGGATCGCTCGTACTGCTGCAACAACAGCCGCAACAACAACAGCAGCAGCAGCAGCAACAACAACAACAGTTGACCACAACCCTACAGCACTCGGGCATAACTATACAGCCAGCCAACATGCAGCAGCAACAGCAGCAGCAAAAAGCAGCAACAGCTCAGTTGAACACGGCCATAGGTGCCAACTCCGCATTGCGCGCCCAGCTCAACTCCAATGTGCCAATTCTCGTAAGTATAATAAGTATAAAGTTATCAATTTTGATCGCTTACAGTCTTACAGCATTAACACGTTAATCCATTTTGGCCAAGAGCTGTGATAAATACTTTTGCAATCTGTAATCGATCTATTTTGGCTTCAACTACCTCTTACGAACCAGCTTAAGATCCCCGATATTTCTCAGTTTCTAAGCTGAATCAGTTATTACCATTCAATTTATTATTATATGGAAACTCCCAACCTAGCCTAAAATGCAATATCGTATTTAAAAAATATATATATAGAGAAACAGACAGTAAGATTTTAGTTAATTCCATGCAATTGATGTTGGATAGATCGCATCTCTCATTCTTTGCTATAACAAGTAATATTTTCGCATTAGTTTGATAATTTTTATATTTATGTGGATATCTTAGTTTTGGATTACAAACACTAATCTATATTTATTTGCGCGCAGCAATCGCAACTGAAGACAACTCAAATTGTTAGCACACAACATCAATTGCTGCAAAAACAACAACAACAACAGCAGCAGCAACAACAACAACAGCAACAATTAAGTGCCTCAAATAACAACAACATAAACAGCAACAATAATAACAACACGGCCATGCATCCAAATCCTGCGATAAATGCTATAGTCACCAGTATCATGAACTCTGCCAACCAGTACCAGCAGCAGCAACAACATCAGCATCACCAACAACAACAGCAGCAGCACTGTGAGTCACATAATCATGTTTACATTTCGTTGTCTGCCGATGCATATTTTACTTACTCGCATAATTTACTTACAGCAGGCAGCACACCCACCAGCAACAATAACAACAACTCGACAGCAACCATCAATATTGGCAGCAATAACAGCGGGAACAATGCCTCGACAACAACGCTGAAAAACTCTAGCAATGCTTCGATTCTGAACCTGCTTAATAGTGCGCCTGCAGCCATGACGAGCACACCCGTTGCCAGTGGCACATTTACTACCTCGTCCACTGGCCAGCAACAAACGTTGACATTGGTGCAGCACCAACAGCAGCCGCAGCAGCAGCAACAACAACAACAGCAGCAGCAACAACAACAGCCGCAGCAGCAACAACAAACAGCGCCCACAAATGTTGATGCAGCTACAACCACCTACGTGCAAACGACTCGTGGCACTCCGACGTTGGTGCAACGCAAACAGTCGTCTAACGAGGTGCTGCAGAGTTTGCTGAATCGCAAAATTAACTTGGTTGGCACAAGTGGGGCGACCACATTTCGCACCAACTCGGCGGGCAACCTGATTGCCGTCAATCTGAATCAGCCGCAGGGTCAAGCTCAGCAGCAGGCAGTCGATGTTAGTCATGCGGTGCGCGTATCAATGTCGGCGCTTGCCTCGCAACTGGCCTCGCCACCGGCCGTCATGACGAATCCCACCACTGGTTACGGCGCCTATACGGTCAGCACGGGCGGCGTCTGCAGCAGCCTCAAAATACTCAATACGGGCCAACAGCAGCAGCAGCAGCAACAACAACAACAGCAGCAGCAACGTTTACTGAGCTCGTTGCGCAGGGATAGTACAACTGGCCCGCCAAATGCCATTGTTGTCGGAATGGCGGCACCATCGCCTGGCAGCGATTCCAATGCATCGAATGCTAGTGGATTTGCGGTACCCACCAATCTGTCATCGGCGTCGGGCGGTGGGGCGCTCAGTGCACTGCTTACCAATGCTGCCACACCCTCGCCGTCCGGTTCGGATCACTCGCAGTCGTCTCAAACGCACCAGAATCAGGTGCTGCTCGATCGGCTCAGCAATGTGACATCGAATGTGTCCGCCGTGTCATCCGTAGCAATGCCGCACATGTCGCCGCAACAAGTGGGCTCAGTGCAGCAGCAACAGCAGCAGTTTATTACCAAAACACTGGTGCACTCGCCCGCCACATCATCCATACACTCGCCCATGTCTAGTCCACACCCGCAGCCGTCAGCGTCGCCACAGCAGCAGCAACAGCAGCAGCAAACTGCCACGCTAAATCTGCAGGGCATCAATCTGTCGCAGCTGCAGGGCGCCATGGCAAACTTTGCTGGTTTGCAGAATGTGCAGGTGCAGATTCCCGGCTTCACGCAGCCCATTTCGCTGCAGTTCTCCAACAATGGCTTGCAAGCGACATCAGTGCAGTTGCAGCAACAACAACAGCCACAACAGCAGCAGCAGCAACCACAACAGCAGCAGCAACAACAACAACAGGCAAACACAAGTAACGCCACTGCGAGTGGAGCTTTGGCGCAAGCGCCAACACAACAGCGCAGCGTGTTGGTCTCTGTGCCCGTATCGCAGCAACAGCAGCTGCCACACACCATCACATTGCAGACGACACAAACGTCGCCCCAACAACAACAGCAGCAGCAGCAGCAACAACATCAACATGCCCCACCCACGGGCACCATTGTTAACCTGCCCTCAGGGATGTCCGGGACACAGGCGGTAGTTATTACAAATAATGCAGCTGCCAGCTCGGGTGGCAGCGGCGGTGGCGGCGGCAATGCCAGCGGCACTGGAACGACAACGACTATGCTCACGCTGCCCATTGGTGAGTGATCCAAGTAGCAACTAAATACGCGTGCTGCACTCCTTCGGCTTCGACTCTCGACTCAAGCTTGAGAGCATCACAGAGACGTTTTTAATACTTGTTACGATTTTAATTTATAAACTACACACACACACAAATACAATGATGTATTTATATATATACGTATAGATATATATTATATATTTACCTATTTTATTGAACATGCTTAATTTTGTTCTTTTCTGTTTCTGTTTTCTATTTTCTATTTTTGTTTCTTCGTTTCTTGTTTACACAAACCCGTTAACAACTCGTTTCGATACACTCATGCAACTAAACTGTTTATATGTTTTTGTGTTTAACCCATGCCATCAGTTTGATACATTCACCGCCTAACTGACCCGTAGTCGGGGCCAACGGTGGCAATTAGTTAGCGTCTATCTGACCAACAGATTCATTGTAACCTAAAACAACAACCAAAAAAAACTCCCCGCACACCCGTTCTGCTTTCTGTTTACAGCTCAACTAGTCGGTGCCGGAGTACAGAAACTAAATCCTCAAACTATACGTACCTCAAGCGGTGGTGGTGTAGGTGTTGTCACAACAGCAGCCACCGGTGGCATCCAGCCTCGTCCGCGCAGCGTTCAGGTTGTTGGCACCAAGCAGCTAGCCAGCAGCCGACAGCTGCTCGCCACACAGCGTCAGATTGGCGGATCAACGTTGAAGATCGCGTCAGCGACCGTGAATGGTAGATGGCAAAATCATTTATTCCATAATGAATAATTTATCTAAACAAATGTATATTCTTACCCGATATAGCCAATGCCGTTACTAATAGTGCCAACCTTAGTGCTGGGCCCATTCTGATGTCTGGGCAGAAGGTGCAACTGAAGACCGTCAAGGCGCCAACGCAGCAGCAACCACAACAACAGCAACAGCAGCAACAACATCGAATACTCAACCAGAGCACTGTAACGTCCGGCTCCCAGGCGCTGCCCAGTCCTAGCCAGGTGGCCCACCCACAGCTACAGCATATACAAATCGCTGGCCGTGCTGTTCCAGCAAATGCAAGTGTCATGAACCAGCGCACCCTGACGGCGCTGGCGGTGGCGAAGCAGCAGCAACAACAGGCAGCGGTTAATCGACGGCGCTCCACCACCGATGCGACCAAGTAATGGCACTCAGTTTCCACACTGCGTTGCGTTGAAATGTGAGATCAGCTTCTCCATCCTAGCCTAGCCACAGGAATACTGTTTGCAATGGGAGCAGTACTTGCTAATATTGCAGTCATAGCGATCTATTAATTTTTGTTAATTGAGGAGAGGAGACAAGTAATAAGGCTACGCGTTGTGTATTTGCATGATATTATAGTTTATGTTTACAAATTATTAAATAGCACTACTAGCATACATTGTATACCCATATATCTGCATATATATCTTTTGATGTGTATAATCGTAAGTGTAAATTATGTGGGCTGATAGAGTGCTCAAGCCGTATGAGATCAACACAACAGCCAGCTCATTTAATAGCGCAAACCTCTAGTGAGCTCGTTGAATTGGCATCATCATCATCATCCGAGTTGTGGAGGATGCCAATTTGGCGACAGTTTAGGTGAAGCCAATGGCGACTGCAATTGTCTGTGTCCCTTGCAAAAAACTACTGCTAAACTACAAAACGAATTAAGTGTAAAGCTCTTATTAATATTTATCTAATTGTACATATTAATTGTTTCATATTAACGTGCGCCGAAAAGCCATTTATAAAAACAACAACAAAAAAACAAAAAAAAAAACAAAAACAAAAGAATGTCTTATCAGTTTGGCTCTCCCAACTCCAATTTGTTACAACGTAAGACTAGCAATGTAAGCGTGCGTGCTAACTTTAAGCTTAAGCAGTAAGCCAGAAAGGCCCTTTAATACAAATGGAAATAAACGAAAAATAAAAATAAACAACAAAACAAAACAAAAACAAACAAAGCAATAATAAGGAAAGAAAACAAAATGTAAAATTTGTAATTGATTGTAAAACAGAAATTAGGGCTAACTATTACGATTTGGATTAGTTACGAAGGTATGAACAGGTGTAATGGTTCATATAAATATAATAAATATACATATGCATATTGTACTATTATAAATATTATTATTGTAATTCTAATTATTATTGCTAATTATTTAAATGCTTAACCTAATTTTATTAAAATAAACAAAACAACAATTTTAGTTTGTATTGAAAACCAACAAAAACAAATTAGTACTCGTACTTCCTATGGCAATTTACAAAAAGAAAAGCAAAAGTAAAAAAAAAAATATGTGTACAATTTATTTGTAATAGCGCAATGTAAGTCGAAAGGAGACGAAGAATAATCGGCCGAAATTAACCATCATTTTCATACATACATACACATAGGCAACTAAGTAGTTCCGAGCTGAAAATTATCGCTAAATATATATATACATATATATAAATTTGTTTTTGATCTAAGACCGTCTTTGTAGCATGAAATTATTTATTTAAGTATTTTTTAATTTTGTTACAACTTTTGCTGTAATTGTGACTGTTCGTCAAAGTTAGCTTTTCTGTACAACAAAATTGCCTATTTAATACAAAATACCCTAACAAATAATTTAATGAAAAAGAAAAAAAACAAAAACAAAAAACAAACACAGAGATACCCAACTATACACACACATACACTCAAAAGTAATTTACTCAATGTTATAATAAATGTGATTTAAGAAAGAAAACATGGTACTACCTAAAAAAATTATAAATGTTACGATAAAAGCCAGGTAGTCAAGGCAGAAAATGCGCACGAGTCCGTTTTCTGGAGTTACTCCAGAGCAAAAGTGAAAAGTGAAAAGAAAACAAATGAATAAATTAAATATAATTACATGAAAGTAATGCGGAGCAATCTAAAGAAGCATAAGATATTAAATAACTATTAATATAAATGTAACTTCAATTCAATAACTGCTTATCTAAATACCTGACGTAGATTCTTTTCATTTAAAACATAAAACCAATAATGTTTCAAGACAAAACGATAATTACTTTCGAGAGAACTGAGATTAAGCGCTGACAAACGTGTCACTCATGGATGGATAGCAAGCAAAGGCATCTAAGAAAGACTTATAATAAATCAATAATAAAACAGTCTTGTTGTGTGAATGTACAAAAGCAGTGTGTTTATTTCAATGCAGGCGCTGCATATTGCACCAGTTTAAATCGTATTTTTGTATGTTAGAGATATTGTTTATTGCATATATATATATATATATATAAATATATCGTTTACTTATGACAGCTAGTCGATATCACGGAAAAGCAATAGATTTGCATAGAATCGCAGTCCCTCAACGGATTCATCGCGGCAAACTTTTCCCAATCGCTCGGCGACCAATAACCGCTCCTTAGCTAGTAACAGTGATATGCCCAGTTGCTTGGCAAGCTCCTCTACGGCCAGCGACTCGGCCTCACGAACTTTCTCCGATGTGTCAATGGCAATTAGTTCATCATCTTGGGACTCCAGCTGCAAAACCATGGCACCGCTCGGAAATCGGCGAAGTTTTATGGGACCATTGAGCTGCTCGCAAGCGTGGAGTAAATCCTCGGGCGAGAGTAGTTCAAAGCCACGAGCACGATTTACGCGACAATATACATCTGCCAGTGACATCATACCACCGTGTTCCTAATCAACATCAATTTAGAAAGCAATTAAACCAATTTGGTTATTAAGTTTTTGGACACACTTACTTCAATGGGATCGAGTAGCATTTCGCAGATTTGCTGAGCCAAACTATTGAAGTACGCCGTATTGCTAGTAAAGTTGTCGCGCGTCACCGGATCATCAATGCCCAAGCTGAGCAGATAAGATTTGAAGCGCACCGTTTCGTCATCGGATATCTCACCTTTTTGCTCACGTATTTTGCTGCTAATATTCTTGGACAGACCCACCATATCCTTTGCCATGGCCATGAGGACACTCAAGTCCTGAAAAGCAAGTGCTATATTCTCGTCCGTCGCCTTGGCCTTTGCTTCAAGATTACGTTCTATGCCGCCAATACCCGTTCGCTTCTGAATCCTCGCGAGCCTATCGCTGACATTGGCCACAGACTCGGCTCCTCTCACTATCGTCTCGCTTGCCAATGAGATTTCCCAGACGCGTGCGCTCAAAGTCTCTCGCAAGGCGCTGTGAAACTCCACGCTTAGTCCGTTCTTGCCTGAAAGCTTTATGTGAGCAGCTCGACTTGTGTCCAGTGGACCAGGAGCTTTATTTGGATTGGGCGGTCGTAGGTGCATTATAATACGCGTTTTGCGTCCAAAGAAATTGGAGGCTGTTGTTTCCTCACTGAGAGAGACCACATAGCTAAGTGGCAGGCATAGCGTGACGGCAGCTCGTGCTATTTCCCCTGGCCTGCCCCAGAATAGTCTGTGTGTGGTAAGCACAACTTCCCCATCCGCGAATTCCGTCTGTAATAAATGCGCAGAAGGACATTGCGGTAAAATCCAACTGGTGCAGTATGTGATTCGATTTTAACCACCTTTTGATCGCCATCGTAGATTTTGACGTTACGGTCGCGGCTTACAAAGGTCTCGCTTTCCCCTAAACGAGCCTCCTGGTAGGCAAAGCGATTCATTGCTTAAGCTCCCAATTAATAAACTTCTATATTTGTTTTGATTTTCAGCACTGTTGAGTACCCCTTGTTTGCGTGAGTGAGCAATGCAGACCTGTTCACTCTTCGTGCTCATCAGTTGTCAAATAGTGTTTACCAGCACTACTTTCCAGTGTATGCATACATCAAGTAATTATTAAATTTCTGCATCCCGATGACAATGTCAGGAGCAAAATATAAATTTCCAATTGGCGCCATTTACATTTTGAAAAACTGTTAAAAAATGAATTGCAACATCCTCTAATTAAATATAATTTATGTTTGTGTATTATAAAATTTAGACACATTATTTTCGCTCTCTTATAATATCTAGTGTGGAAACACATAAAATAATACCTTAATCTAACATGCGCTATCGATAGCTAATAATTGGAAATATCGATAATATCAGAGGTGTTATCATGTGCCTCCAATAGCAAAAATTTTCATTTGTTGCTATTTTATGTTGTTTTTGTGCTTATTTTTGTGGTAATATTCTAACAAAACTTACAAGTTGGAGATTCCAATGCAAAATATGTCATCGTTCGATTGAATAAGTTATTTAATAATGCAGCAAGGCGTAAATTGAAAATTTTACGTTCACATCGATCACCGGATACGGATTACTGTAAAGCTTCGACCACGAAATTTTATGTATCATGATGGCGACAGCCACAGCACCATCAACCGAGGCGAGCAAAATGCTTGAGGCTGCATTGCAGCAAATGGATGGCATTATATCGAATTCAACAACAGCAACAGTTGGTCAGCAGCAAACCCAAGCCCAGATTCAGCCAGGATCAGCAACCACAGCTTCGCTGACCAGCTTCTGCGAGCGTAATTTGATATCTGCCACAAATGTCTTATCGACAGCTAAGACATTGGCGCTGGCACTGCAACAAGTGAGTCAGAGGCATATTTCATACATTCTATTATCACTGAAACTATTTATGTAGGTTGGTTTGGCAGCGCCCGCTCCCGACCCCGTAACCGCGTCAATAATTAGCGATTGGCTTGAGACGCACATACCGCGTCAGGATTCCGATGAACGCATGCGTCGCTTGCAGCGCGATAAAGAAGGATTGGCCCTGCAGTATCAAATGCTGGCGGAACGTGTTTCCGAGCAAGCGGACAGGATCATTGAGCTGGAGGGTCTGCTAACCGAAAAATCGCAGCAGCTTTGCAGCAAAGAGGATCAGCTGCAGCGGCAAATGATTTCGCGATCTGCGCTGGAGACTCAAAAATTGGAATTAATGAGTGCCTTAAGTGAGCTGAAGCTGCATCGCACCGCGCTGGAGTGCGAAAACGAGCAGCATGTCGGTGAGGGCAACGGTTGGGGCGATGGGAGCAGCATGCCGTACGGCAGCATGGGCAACATAAACCAAAAGAACTACACAACTGACGGTGGCACAATGGCACCGAAAACTCCACCCTCAGCCTTGCGTCACCAGATTAAGCCACAATTTCACAGCTTGCCCAGGTCCCATGGCGGTGCCAGCAAGCAGACACATCGCCTGCAGGCTAACAACAATAACAATAATCACACGCTCGACGTGAATGCCAACAGTAGTGGGAAACAACGTAATGTGGCTTTCGCAGCTAACGAACAGATTGTAATTGGCAATAGTGTGCAGAATGATAGTTCTTTCGCCACGGAGAACGACATAGACAAATACTCAGGTTTTAGATCCCAATTGCAATCGACACCCTCGCCAAAGTTGCGCGAGCGTTCTGCGCGCGGATTGCGTAACATTTTAGGCAAACTACGTCGCAGCAACAGCAGCAACTGTGAACTGACGGCATTGGAACAAGCAGAACCAGAGGAGTTTCGTCGTGGTGGAGCGCGTGCAACTGCAGGCGGCCGCATCGAATGGGGTGCTCAGACTCCAATGTTTACTGATGCCGATAAGCATTACAGCACCTGGAACCCACAGGAGGTGTGCAACTGGTTGGCGCATCTGGGTCTAGGCTATTATCAGGATAACTGTAGGTGAGTATTCCTAAAATATTCGTTTTGTGATGTGACAGAATTAACATATTCCCCAAACTGGATTATGGTTCAACAATATTAACATACACATTTTTATATATTTTCTATAATTTTTATTTACAGGAAATGGCTGAAATCAGATCCGAACGTATGCTTCTTTACCGCTTCGCCGGTCGACATCGAACGTGAACTGCACCTGAAGTCAATACTGCATAGGAAGAAAATCATGCTGGCCATTGACGACGTAACGCAGAAAGAGTCCGATGAACTGACGCTCAAGGCTGCCTGGTTGGATGTGGGCTGGGTGCTGCGTTGGCTCGATGACATTGGTCTGCCACAGTATAAGGATCACTTTCTGCAGGCCAAAGTCGATGGTCGGATGCTGCACCGCTTAACACTGGAGGATCTTTCGCAATTGCATGTCAGCTCGTGCTTGCATATCGCATCACTGCGTTGTGGTATTCTTTGCATGCGAAACATTCGCTGGGAAGCCGATCGTCTAATTCGTCGCTCAACCAAGTTGAGTGAGCAGAACGATGAGGCTATCAGTTCCGATAAGGAGAGCGTAGATCTGTGGACGGCCCACCGTGTCATGGAGTGGCTAAAGACCATAGATTTATCAGAGTATGCGCCAAATCTACGCGGTGCTGGAGTCCATGGCGCATTGATGATCTACGAGCCGCGATTCAATGCCGATTTGTTGGCCGATTTACTCTCAATACCGCCGAGTAAATCCCTGCTTCGTCGCCATTTAGCGATGCATTTCAAGGAATTAGTAGGACGAACAATTATACATGGTAAACGAGATGCCGAAGCAGCTCCTGGCTATCTGCCACTGACGATCACTGCCAAATTGAAGCCACCGAAACGCTCTCAATTTACTCTCAAACGTCGTAAGAGCACAAAGGGGCATACTGATGTCGATTGGTTGGATTTTGTTTGCCCAATGAATGCCGTTGTGCCTGCTCTGTCAATATCAGAGGGGACTAAGGATCACGACGGTTCGTTGAGCTCCAACTAAACGGTGCGAACTATAACGCATATAATATTACGCGTAATATTCTTATAATTATTGTTAATTTAGTTTTAAGTACACGAAGAAATTGATTACCCGAAAACTGATGAACTAACGAATTAAGCAACAACCAAACAAACAGACTTACAGACACTGGAACTGTATTTAGTAAGAATTTAACTTGGCACGGGATGTGACGCCAAACTTGAAGCAATAATTTTTCGTTTCGATTTATCGAACATTTATCAATTACGTATTAACCATGCAGGCAGCTAAATGCACAAACTACTAATACATACCTTTCTGAAAATTGCACTTTATTTTATATAAACATACATATGCACTATTATTATATTAACTAACAATAAGACGACTTGACCATTAACGTCTTCCAAAAGTATGCCTAATGATGGAAAACTGAAGTATTTGAATGAGCATATTACCGACCTGGAAAACAAGCCAAAGTCTGGCATGACGCACAATAACTGAGTTTATAAACTTTTTATACTAACACTGAATTGTACGTATTAGCCCGATATTTAACAAGTAAATAACGCCTTATACATTTTGTACCGAAAATGAATTTCTTAATGTGTCTTATTTAATTTAATCTCGAATGGAGATTTCATTTGCAGGCTTTAGAGTGTGTTGTGATTCAAAGACATATATTTTTGTTAGATATTTAGTTTATTGTTAACAATAACATGATTACAATGCTATAATTGCTGAACGACTAGAGGCACGGCTATTAGCTATATAAAAAAAACAGCCAGCTTGGACGGAATCAACATATGTAGATGATTGCTGTCTTGTCAAAGCTTGTTCGCTTTCCTTGACCAATCCTTTCTTAAATCTATCAATCTTTGGCAGTGCTTTCGGAGTAATCTTAATAAAGCTCGTGATGTGGCCGGTCTTAAGTGCTGGCCTGGTTTGCTGCAGTCGACACTGAGCCCAAATTCTCAACACCCAAGCCAATTTGTCCGGCAAGTATATTCTCAAGGACGCTGTGCTGGCTGCGAACATCGCTATCTTTGACCTGATGCTTGCAAAGATCACTCTCCGGTATGTGATCCTTCCAGTTGCGGAACAGATAGCGCGTAAACTTCTTCAACTGCCTGAACTTACAGTATGTGGCACCCTCGGCTGATTGCAGTTGCTGCGTCTGTATCAGAAATCCCTTTTCCTTAAATGTCTTTTCCAGTTTTTCGCGCTGCTTTGAGCGTCGTGACGATCGTCGCTTTACCGCAGCCACAGTCACAGGCCTCGGGCTCTCCATCGACTTATGCTGATCGTTAGTATCCGCTCGTTTGTGGCAATCTTCTGGTGGATGCATGGGGCTATGAGAGTTCGAGTAACTAGACGGACTTTGCGGCGCGACTGGCACTAGGCTGCTGGATAAGAGCAGAGACGATGTCGGTGATTCGGATGGTATGTGCAGCAGTTCCAGGCTGAGATCTGTCGAGGGTGGTGGTATATCTATGTAGAGTTTGTCATTGCTGCCATTTGTTGGGTTTAGCGGTTGGTGTAGGTGTTGCTGTTGTTGTTGCTGCTGCTCCCTCGAGATAAATTCGTAGCCACGCATTGTCCTGTCACCGGTGCCATTATAATAACGATAGTTTCCCTCCGCATCCACCGACAACATCTTCTTTTCCTGTAGCGTCGGCTTTGCACCGCCCGTAAACTTAAACTTGCAAATGCTGACCTCAGTGGATGGACTGGAGCTGTGATCCGCCTGCATTGGCGGTATGTAGATCGCAGAACGTTTACGCTTTCGCATCGTAGTGGCAGTCTCTATCGATTGCTCCAGTGGCTCACGCTTGTCCGCTGTGCTGCTGCAGCTGGTGGTGGCGGTGTTGGTGGTGGCAAAGAAGCCATTTGGTATGGGTATCTTTAGGGCTAGCTGGTTGTCTTTTTCGATTGTCTCCAAGGGCACACCTAAGCGGCAATTTTCCATTAGCTGCTGGTAATACAAGCCCACAGGTTGTAACAGCAACTTGGCAGAAATCCTGGGCTTTTCCTCTGCAGATATTTTCAAATCTGGCGGCCCAATAGCTATATGCTCCACGATCAGCGGCGTCACCCGATGCGAGGAACTGCCACATTCTGTCGTTGATGTGGTTGCATTAGTTACCGTCGATGGTTTGTCACTATCGCCGCTGGAGATTGAATAGCGATCGCTGGACCGATCCCTCAGACAGAGATTTAGAGGCTCCTCTGACAAAATGGTGGACACCCTGCTGGACACAACTCGCTGTGTGGGCATCGGTGCAGTTACTGCAGTTGGAGCAGGCGAACACTTCGGCTCAACAACTGGGAAATGCTCCGCTGCTGGTATAATTGTGCCATAGTTTTTGTAGATCAGATGACAAATGTCCGCCTTTTTCGGTTTGCGACCCCGTCGTGGCTTGTAGTTGTCCAGTGTGATCTCGCCCATATATGGCAGATCGGCATATTTGATTGCATTGCGTTTGGAGCTGGATACTGGCTCAACTACTGGCTCCAGTGGCGTTATTGCAGCGGTTACGGGCTCCACTCTCGCCGGTTGAGATGCCTTACCGGATTCCTGCGCCTGCTGCTGACGCTCTGCGCTGCGTTGGATCTCTGCGATCTTTCTCAGCCAGCTGCGTACATTCTCGTGCGACTGGTTCTGGGGTGGGGGCGTTGCCTTTACAGGGGGCACAGACGGAACTGTTCGTGCGCTGGACAGGTGACGTCTCTGTGTCGCCTCATAGTGGGCAGCATACTCTGCCGGCAGGGCCTGATGATGGAAACGCAGTTTGATTGCTCCCGTTGGGGTTGAGCGCTTTTTCGATTTGCTCTGACGAGCTACTCGTTGTTGTGTTGGTGCTGGTGTTTTGCTCAACTCCTGCACCTGGGGCTGTCTTTGCATTTTGCGTGCATTCATCAAATTGGCCTTTAGTTGTTGTTTGGTGAGCGTGCTGCATGCACCATTCTGCACGGCATGCTCCTCTTCCAGGGTCTTGCGAGCCAACAGTACCTTGAACGGATAATCCTGATCTTCATCGTGCGGGTCATTGCTGGCGCCATGCGAGATCAGTGGATCGTCCGAGCCCTGCAGCAACAGCTTGTTGCTGTTCAAGTCCAGGCGCATATGATCATTCACTGGCGTCACCGGCCAACCGCGATCCGGATCCAGTTTGATGCATGGCAGCAAACTGTGCGAAAGATGTTGTTGTTGCTCGAGCTTATTGGCAGCTGTGCTCGAACACATGTGCACTTTGCCGTTGTTGTTGCTGTTGGTGTTGTGGTTGCTGTTGTTGTTGTTGCTTATGTTAATGTTGCTGAAGGCCATAACCTCTTCCCGTGTGAGATCCTCCATGTCTTACTCTATATTGGGATGAAATGAACATGAGATTAGTTGACTAAATTCATTCATAACTGCAATCTGTGCCATATATGGCATAATTGCAACTTGCTTTTTTCTCATGACCCACACGCACACCCACACACACACCTACACACACACATGTATATTTCTCTTTTGCTGCTTTGAAACACACGCCGGCAGAAGAAGTCTCCGTCGCCGTCGCCGTTAGCTGATCGTATCCGTATCCGTCCTCTATCGGCGGTGGCGGTGGCAACACGGGAATTCTATTTAAATGCTCTGCGAACTGGCAAAGTGTTGTATCTCATCTATACACTCAAGCAGCCACTACACACACACACACACACACACACACACACACATACACACACACACACACTGAGCAGAGAACGCAAACGCATATCGCTCGGAAACAGAAATTTTGTTTTTGTGCATGAAATTCGATTCCCTTGAGCGAAAGTATGCCCATAAAAGGCTTAATGCGTGCAGATATTTTCAGATACGGGCACAAAAATGTTGGCCTTTTTTTAATTATTCATGACTCGAGTAATTTTTGCCGCAATCATAATTGAGTGTGCTTTATATCTTTATATATATATTTTTGTTTTACCTGTTAAGTTTTGTTACTTTTGAAACTGGGTACGATAAAATCTTCGATATTTTTGAGTCAGGTACTGTCCAGTCTAATTCTTAACAGTATCGTGTAGAGATGGCCACGTTGTTTCTTGCATTCGATTCACGCGTCTATCAAACTGGATCGCAGCAGCACCGCCACCGCGCGCGAATACATCGTGTTGACATCCAAAACTCAACTAGTTGCGGGAAAGTCACGAAAAGCATCTTTTTTTGAAAATATGCTCCTTAGATGGATCGCAGCCGGGAGACGCAGACGCAGACGGGCTGCGGGGTGAGGATGCGGACGCGGAGAGCGAAGCAAACCAATGCAAAGCAAAGCAAAGCACGCCCCGCACACAATAGAAAAAAATAGCACGGACGTGAACGGCTGCTGAGCAAAGCCAAATGAAAATCAAATCAAATTCCTCTGCTCCGCTCTTCGTATTCATCGACCAGCGTTGTGCGTTGTCGTGCCTGTATTTAACGCCAAAGACGAAGATATTTCGTGAATTCATTTTTAGAAAAATTCAACTTGTTGCCGCCGCGCTGCTTTGCGGCCATAAACCAAGCAAGCAACCAACCAACCAACCCCCAACCCTCGAACAACGCAACGCAAAAACAACAAACAACTAATTGCACTGCAAATATCCTCACGGCACAATACTCTGTTCTTACGGTAATCAAAGCAAACATATTTTTTAAAGGCTAACAAGGATGGCTCTAAAAATGCGGGAACGATTTCTGAGTATTTAACGAAGCTTTTCAGTACAGGCACTTATATGCCAAGCACTTGTACTGATAACGAAAAAGTATTTCAAATTTGGCATGTTCCGAACAACATTTTTGAATCCATTATACCTCATTTCAATTTAAAAAACAGAGTGCTAAAACGGCAGAAAAATAGAATAATTCGAAAATTTGTTGTTGCTTTAACTAGATTATTTCATTCATGAACATTTTGTTTTTGTTCTTTGGTCCACATATCATTAGTGGCAAATACTTAATGGTTTTTTATCAGCATATTTGGATTTAATAGTTATTCTGTAAAAGGATCCCTTAAAATATACAAAGTGCAATAATAAGGGTTATCAAATATTAATTATTTGCATATAAAAGTTTTTAATGGCGAAATGTTCGCAATAAGTGCAAATTATGTAGGGCATTATATATTCGATCATTTGCAGTTAAGGAGACCAAGAGAAAGGTCCTAAGTAAGATGATCAGCAGCTGCAGCTTTCAAGGTATGCAAGTTTCCCAAGTTCTTCATACTACGCATAGGTGAATGGCTAAGATTATGGCGTTTATTAATAGCATCCGATGTCCGAGACTTCAGGTTAGGGCAACTAAGATTTGCCTTGCGTCTTGCATTTGGTGTATGTGTTTTAGAGCGGCGTAGGTGTTGATGTATTAGTGTTTCTGGCGGCTTATTAATTTCCGAAAAGGAAAAATGCCCTCAAAATAGATGACTGTTTGCGTTTGTTTATTTCGGGAACACTTGCATATGTGTGTGAGTGTGAGTGCCTGTATATGTGTGTGCAACCGTGTAAAAATATGGGTCATAGTGGTTTTATTGAATACGAAAATACATTGAGTAGTATTCTTCTTATTAGGTAGCTGATTTGTGGCAACGCAACAATATCATAAATAAACTGCGTTCTATTTTTTAAATAGCTAATTCGAACGCACTATGCACGATTTTGGATTCGTAGTTCACGTGCCTTAAACCTTATACGATATGTAATACATTTTTCAAAGTTAGCTTGCATTTCGAAAAATAATTATTAATTAAATTGTGCAAATTTAGAGACGAGACTCGCAGATCTAGGTAATTTCTATTCTCTCAAATTACAATTTCAGTAGTTTAGTTTAGAACAATTGAGAAAGAAGTAAAATACAAATTTCTTGAAAATTTGTTAGGCCAGGTTCGCTTATAATAGAGAACTATGTGGAAAAGAGCTCTAATTGAAATGCATAATATCATATATACCCACCGGTATATTAAATGATATATTAAAGAAATCTTTTCAAAATTATTAAATATCTTATGAATTGTCGTAAATTAATTTAAATCGATAGCTTAAATAAGAATTCGTCAAAATTTAATATTATTAAATCTAAGTAACAATGTATATTATTTAAACATCGGTTATCCCGAATATGAGTCAGTATCGAGATCCTCACCATACCCGATTATCTCTGTGCTCTTCGCGATTAATGATAGGCACGAGTGTTTACGATGAATCGATAAGCGTCGGCTCATCTGCTAATCGACAAAAGCTCACCGCCTTGAGCCTCATGAAAGCAGAATATTAAAAAGTAAAGTAGTAAAATTGAAAAATATTTCGAGTCTCAGCGTCTTCAGAAGATACACAAGGTCATCACCTATAACGCAGATCATTTAGAGAGCACCTCGGGGCGGTGCTACACCGGCTTGCTAGTCTGTAATAAGAGTTTTATCGGGTCCAGATTTCGGATTGGCAGTTGCAAATTTCAACACCACTATATCCTACGATTCCTTGCTTTTAGACAGAATGTAAAATATGTAGGACCTTGCCTGACGATTATTTGAAACTTCTTTCCGCCATGAGTAATGAACTTGTTATTCGAATTTCAGGGTATGCATACTGGAAGCATTTCTGGGGATGGATCAGAAGTCAGACCCAAGTGGTTAACGATCTGACTAAAAACCGGTTATTAGAAGATTTAGGAGGTGAGCTTGGCGTTGTTATCGTAGCAATCGAGCTTGGGCACGCTCACGTTTAACAGTCGAAACCATTAACCACAATGGTTTTCTGCCTTGGCTTCAGAACTTCGTTAAAAAATTGGTTTAGCATAAGCTCAAAGCTACATAAAACGAATTTTGTACTTTACACATAGATTGGAAGCATACTTATTGACTGCAATGCGATGACGAAAGAAGCAAGATGTTCTCTAACCTTCACAGTCTATGATGAAGAAGATCTTGAACAGATTAATAGTTTCAGACATCACAATTGCTTGGCATTGTCAAGAACAGACTGTTTGAGCGGATCTGTGCCTGGTACATAGCCGAGTTAATTACTCTCTTGATCTCCGAATTTGTCGAAGACAAAGATGGGTTACCGGTGATGGCCATATTGGATGGCGCTATAAATGTATTTGTGTAAGTACATCCTAGACAAACAAAGTTGATTGTCTAGACTCTACACACTATGCATGTGATTCATAGGCGTGTGCATTGAAGTGACAAAAAAGTAGAGAAGTTGAATATTGATAGTGGGTGGGCAAGTTTACAGAATATGCAATCATTGGTTAGCTCTAGACTCAATAGCCAGCTACTACTATTTACATTTTTGAAATTAGACGACAGAGGTGCTTACATCACCATCAGCAATCAGCGGTTTCGCAGTCGTAGGTTGTGGCTGAGACTGAGGCTGAGGCTGACGTTGGCCAGAACTTTAGCGCCTTGCGTATTGCACATCAACTATTTGGTTGCCACAGTTTCTGAACATATTTATAAATGACATTCAATAGCATTATTTTTTTTTATTTATTCAATACCTGCTTGCGGGTACGTACATATTTGTATTTATGGCCATAACTGCCACATTGGCCGCCTACGCGCTGTTGGCTGTTGGCTCAAAGAACAGCACAGCCACAGCACTAGCACACACAGCAGACTCAGCGTTGCGCGGCAACGGAGAGCGGCAAATTCATAAGTACATATTAGTATCACAACAGAAACAATTAGCTCACTCATCAATAACTTTTCGCAAATTGGCCAAATGACATTTTTGAAAAATTTGTCAAAGTGTTACCAAAAATGCTAAATGCTAATATTATATTATTATCACGCAATGTCAAAAACTCGCATCACTATCATCATTGTTTAACAAGTTCGCGTTAGCGTATTTCTATTCACGGCGGCGGCATTGCGACTGCGCTTGCAAAATATTTAACGGGCGTAAATTCGCATGCGCGCAGCAGCTGATTTGGACAAGCAGGGTTGCCAGCTCGTTTCGCAGTTTTAAAAGTATCAAATCGACTTTGATGCGAAATGTAAAATGAGAATTACCATCTATCAAGTAAGTAGATTTTTGCATTTGTGTGTACATATGTTTAAAGCCAGCTTGTTAAAATGTTCGTCTACCAGTCGAAAATAGCTCATTAATTATATTTGTACAGGTATATCATCTGTCTTGCTCCTCTATTCTTGTTCGAAGGAATGGAAAAAAATCTCGGAACAACAAATTCCCCTTTCAACTAGTACAGTTTGACAATCATCGTGCAGTCACTGGCAGTTTGAAGTATAGTCTAGGCAAGCAGTGCAAGCAGTTTATGGGCCGCAGTCACACCTTCAACACTCCACGACAAAATTATAAGCTATAAAGAAACCAAACCAAAACAAATCAAATTCTGCATCCCGTTTTGGAAAAACGTTGTCAATGGTTTTAATCTTATCTTAAAGTTTCAATTTAACCTGAAATTCAATAAATGTACTATAGTAACAATAAAGAACTGGATCATACAGATTTTGGTTTTGTGTAATATTTATTCGCTGAATAATTTATATATATTTCACATACAATATTATACACATCACAATGTAAATAGGTATAGTCTATAAATATGTTTGAATCTGCAGTGTATAGATTGGGTTTATATGCATAGGTTGATAGTGTTGTTCATTATACTCGTATGCCAACTCAGAAGCGCATTATTACTCTCTCGTTGATTTTTAGCAAATATATTTGGCTTCCTCAAATAACAATCAATATAATGTACATATATATATATGCATAGTATTAAAATGAACTTGAGATTTTAGACACTTGCATACACACTTTTGTGCGAGTTTATTAAGTGGGCTTCCAGACAGTTTTACAGATAAAAATTTGTAGGTAAATCGGAGGTTTTTCAGCATCATGTTATTATTTTTGTGTATGAGTTGTTGTGCCGATCTGAATGTTTATTTTATACATATATATTATATTTTCAGTGACTTGATCATTTAACAATTACATTGAACTATTATATAGAAGTGTATTTGCACATTTGTATGTACATCCACTATATTTTACACATGGTAGTTGAATACGGAAAGCATTGTTTTATTTTTTACATAATTACATATACATATTCAAAATGACATTAGAAAAGTAGTATATTACTATAAATATATATATTTAAAATGCGTGTATATTCATGTATTTGGATGCACATGCAATAACATATAAAGTGTCCTTGTCTGTACATACATTTCAACATACGCCTGTGCATCATTTACCAATGCTAGATTTCTCTCAAGTCTTTTAAAAATTATGTTTATATTATTTTCAGTAGCCGTTGCAGTAAGATAATAAGTGTACGTTTATGCATTATAATAAGTATTTCGATTGTTATTTATATTTTGGTATATATTACACATGTATATATATAAATGTATATTTATAAGTATATGTTTGGCTTGCACCTTAGATATACTCGTACAACAACATCAAAAATAGAATGATAATATTGTTGAAGAAAATTGAAAACACTTCATATATATCCTCTTTTACAATATATATAGTATATATGTATATATTAAGAAATATTTTTTACTATGTATTTAGTTAATGTCGACAAATATTTAAGAACTTTTATGCTTAATTATCGTTGTATTCTATTCACGATGCTTTACAAATGTTCCGCTGGCTTCGGTTGTTGTAGACGTGCATAATACAATGGATATCAATGGAAGGAACACTGAATAAAACAATTAGCATTAGTTATTGGCGTTATTATTCTGCTTACACTTCTGGGACTGCGACTTGCATTCAAAACTGTCAACGCTTGACACTCACTCGAGGAAACATACATGTATATACATATATATATATATATGTGTACTCATAAACATTTGTATGTATTTGACATGCAACGCATACTGACGCATTGAGAAGGACAACAGCACCAATTTGTCAACTGTCGCCAATACAAAGAGGTCCCGGCTTTGACGTCATTCTTGTTACTGTGGTCTAAGCAAATTTCCTGAGGCTGGTGAGTTGAGATAAGGTGAGGAGGGGGTTGGTCTTGTGCTGCATGATTGACGACCTATTCACCTTTAGGAAATGCTGTTGAAATGTTTTATATTCATAATTATTTAAGAAATGCACACTTGAATTCATCTCGTCAAAGCCGACTGAAATGTCAACAAGTCGGTTGACAGTTATGCTTGATACGCAGCTATTCTTTGGGTTCTTTGGTGTAATTCGTATTCGGTTTTCTTTAAATAAAACCCTACAGTTAAGAGGCTCATTACTTGAGAGTGCTTAGCAATTTATCCCCCCCAGTTGCTCGTTTATTTAATTCGTTATGTGTTTGTCATAGGAACTTTTGATTGAGCTTGTGCATTTCTCATTTGCTTATACGCATATGTACAAATAAATATATTTATATATATATATACACACATATAGGTATATGTGTATGTATAGCACTCTGCATAGAACATGTTCAAATTAGCCGAGTAGAAGAAAATTTGCTTTAAAAATTATAGTATATGTATATAGTATGTCACATTTAAATTCACGAGAAATTTTGCTTAACGTTTTAATTATTTGACGGCCCATGCTTTGAGTCAATTCAACGGTGAACGCTGTTTGTTCATATTTCACTAAGTATTTGTACTTAAAAAACAGCTTCAAAAATCGATCTTTTTTCATTTTTCTTCTTTACTGAAGCCGAGAGTGCTCCCTTCCGCCCCACCGGAGCTTCGTCCATTTGCTTAGCGGATGTAGTGCCACATGGCTGTGGGTTTGCGTGCATTGTTAATCATGTCGTGCCAATGTTGGCAACCAGTGCCACTTTCCTGTGGACCAAGGCCACAACAACCAATTTCCGCTGCTTCACTGCCCGCTCCAACCACATAGATCTGCGCGAAATAAGCCATTAAATTGATGCCAATGATGCATTAGCATTAGCACATTTGTTCTGTGTGGCTAACTCACCTCAATGGCCGAACTGTGTAGATAATTTGATTGTAAATTAAATGTGAATGCTTCGTTCCAAATGGGATTGGTTAAATCATCCGACTTTGTAATGCTTGTCTTTTTCTTCTTGACGCGCTTGCCATTTTGTATTAGGTAAATCTATGTGAGTTCCATAAGACACTCATTATTGGATAAATATATAAGATTGAAATAATAAACTTACCTTGACATAGGGCTCTTGAATGGTATCCAAATTTCTGGCCTTCATTATGACAATAGTCAGACGCTCGGCCTGTGGTAGATAGTTCAAAGAGCATAAGAGCTCCGGACGATCCTCTTTGGGCTTCTTAGTGCGCAACAAGTCGCCCCATATCTAAATAAATTAACAACGAGAATTAAAATGACAGTGGATTTGTATAAAATGCATCACTCTAACCTCAACAGATTTGGATAGATCGAGGCCATCAACGAAAATGCGCACTTCGCCAATAATATCGTTGTGCGAATACCTATCATAGTCGAGCACCTGCAAAACTAACTCTTTGCCCTGCAACTGATCGCGTGAAACCGGAAATTTGAAGTGCTGATCAAAGTAGGGATTCGATTCGCCGCGATGTATGTGCGTCTGTCGCTTACGGCTATCCACATCCGGCTGCAGCATGAGACGCACATAAGGATCTCGGAAGCCACCCTCCTCAATCGGGCTTAGATTGTGTGCTGTAAATGAGATGCCCAAAGGGTAATGCAATCATCTAAAAAACATGATTCGTTTAACAACTGACCCTCAATCAAGTGCACCGTCAAATCGAATAGATGATAATCGTATTTCACACGCAAATGCAAGCGGCCAACGGCATGACTGGTGCCGGGAGCTGTCAAATACACGGGTCCGTCCGGCATGCGATATAGATCCGGTTGCAGTGCGCCCAGTGGCGAAGCGGGGCCCACAGTTGGATCGACACCAGGCTGCTGGCGTGGCGGTATCAGCAGCGGCGATAAACAGCGACCACCAGCCACGCCCACACCTCTGCAGACAGGAGGCGCTCCGATGCCACTCATGACCATATTGGGTGCCGATCCAATGACACCACCACCCGATAGGGAAGCCAGACTACTCTGCGAAGGACTCGGTGTGCGCAGGACACTCACATCCGTTGAAGCCGGGCTGCTGCAGCGCGCGTCCAGCGAAATTGTCCGCATGGGGCTGGGCGATCGGGCCAGATGATGAGGAAAAGCCGACTCACTTGGCAGTGAGCTACGTCCATCAGGTCCAAAAGTGCGTATCTGGGGCGAGGAACCACGGTGTCCCTATGATTGAAACAAATATTGTAATTATAATGACTGTAGAGGATAATTGTTTGATCTGATTTGGTATTTTATTTAGAACTTTTTGTTATGCATTAATTTTTTTATCTTTTAATTTGCAGTTTCAATTTTCACTCACCGACTGCCTGGACGGAGCGCTGTCCACACTGCTCTGGCTGGATATCGATGGTGTGCGCTGCAGGCGCGGCGGAAAGGATCGGCTCTGGTGGTGCAAGTGCAAGGGGCTGTGAAAGAGCTCGGGTGGACCACGTATAGCATCTGCGGAGAGCGGATGATTGGGTACACAAGGTATTCCATGCAGCTGTGTTGCCGGTTGTACGGGATGTGTCTCTCTCGAAATGTTGACTTCCTGCAAGTACGTACGGAGTACGGATTCAAGAAATAAGCATTTGTATGTGAAAGCGTGAGTTTTTTTGGTTTTTGGTTAAAGCACCTCTGAATCCGTGGGCAGATCACAGCTATCGCTGACACTACCAGCCGAAACGCTGCCAATGCCACTGGTAGTCGATGTGACCGATGATGCCGATGGCGGTGGCGTCATCTGCTGTGGCGGCGGTGGCGTCGTCGATGAGGCCGCCCCATCACTACCCGGCAAGATTTGGGTGCAACCATTACTGCTGCCACTGCCACTGCCACCGCTGCCGGAGCCACTACCACCACTGCCGCTGCCACTGCTTTCGTCAGCCGAATTGCGATCGAGAGTAACACGACGAACGGCACCGACACGCTCCTTGGCCATGCGGGACCAGGACTCGATGCGCTTGTGTGCCAGCCAGCAGGCTGCCGGACCCAGGCCACTCATTTTAACACTGATTCAACTTTAACTTCACACTCGATTTCTTGTACTTGACCGATTACTGTTAAAATACTGAGAACACCTAAGTTTCTAGCAGGAGTACAGTTAAATTGTTACTTCTTGGCTATGTCGAATCTCTTGCTTTGATTTTCCCTGTTGAGTGCAAGCCAGAGAACTAGAGATTTTTGACAAAGCTGATCAAGGTAGAAAATCCCAGAGCAGGCATTCAAATTATTATTTCAAGAACGTTCCAATTAAAAACTGTTAGATTATTTAGGGAATTTGATTTACAGCAGCGCTTTTCACCAAAACCATTTCGTTGGCTTACTATATTTTTTGACAAGCCACAAACACACACGAGAAAAGAGCATCGTGTGCATTTGGTAATCCGCTTAGACAAACACCCTCGCCTCGCCCATCCTTACAGTCAAAGAAGTACATGTTTGTTGCATGTGCATGTGGCACAAGTAACGTGGCAACACCGCAATCACAATTCACACCCAGAGTAATGTGGCAACAGCTGAGCTTTGTTGCCTTGGAATGGCATTAATTGTGTGTCCGTGTATCACCTGTCCGCAAATTACAACCATAGAAACCGTACTCAAAGTGTGCTGAAAGGACATGTGTCGGCTAATCACTCAGAGAATCAGTGACCACACTCTGAAGGTCCTCAGAGCAGTTAGTGCTTAATTATGGCCTCTACACGCATATAAATGCCAGGCTACTCTTATTTCTACCTACTGCCAGTAAGCTTAAGAGACATCGAAGACGCCGGCAAATGAATCAGAACAACTTCAAGAGCCAACTCGTCGCCTCGGCCAATTTGTAACGTTGAGCGTATCGAAAGAATAAGTCCCCCAATTGGCGGAGGGATGACAATTAGATCGCACGGTGTGGAAAAGAGACAGAGGGTTGATACCTCTCCCAGTGCAATACGAATGTAGACAATTAATGGACTTTCGAGCATTAAATAAATTAAATGAATTTAAGCACGTGTAGCAAATGACATCAAAACACCGAAGAATAGATCGCTGGGTGCGAGAGAGACAACAGAAATCAAGTACCAACCCTCAAATTAGTTCGGGACCATAAAAATACATTCTATTGTATTCAATGGAAAGACAAATTTATACATGCATGTATTACTTATGAGCTATCGATGCACATATGTATACACTTAAAAAAACAACTGCAAATCAGTTATAGTTTTCAGTTTTGACAAAATTATGTTGACTTTTTCGTGTAGAATTCAAACAGAATTTAAATATATCGCTGGTTTCAGATCAATTCTTATTGTTTTTTAAATATACTCTGATGTATTCTGAATCTCATCGGTATTTATATTTAAGGAGAGACTCACAGCGTCGGAATTTGAAATATTTCGAAGAGTATGACAAAATTATAATAAAAAATGGAAGAGGCAGGGAATATTATTATCTGATTAAATATAAAGTTTATTTTTGTAAAGTGTATTCATTTGCTTAGAGGGTTTTTCAAAACATATGTGAGTGAAGTACGACTTTCCTGATCCCCACAAGGAGTTCTCTCGGTATTTGAATGTAAAAGCTGCAGTTTACATGTGGATACGTTAAGTTATGATAGTAACTAATACTGTCCATAATTACGTTGGCATACACCCAGATTATGGGCTCTGCGTCTGCGAAAACATCAATTTCAAATCATTGAAATGCAACCAACCGCACCGTTGCTAATTGACACCTAAACTGTAATCAAAGGGACAACGCATCGGCCAAGCCCATTTTTCAACGCCAGTGCATAAGCATGAGACAGAATGCACACCCAGCCACACACACACACAGAGAGATACACAGTCATGCGGCACATATGCTCAGATGCCGTTAATGTTGTGTGTGAGGAAATCCCTGCAAATTGCGGCAGAAAAATATGAAAAAGCAACCCAAAAATTGTGCTGCCACACCTCCTCTGTATTCATGATATGCTGTAAAATTGCATTAAAAGGCGTTTTAATAGTTTGGCTGTTTTGCAGTTTGGCAGCTATCATTGGCATATGAATGTCAACCCCCGAGAAAAGGTGCCCCTACTCTGAAGTGGACAGGGGTTGTTGATGTTTCGAGTACGCTTTGCAACTGCGGCTCTCAGCTTGGGCGCAATATCAAATTGATGTTTTCCACTTTGTTTAATTTGTTAAGCCTTGATTAATGGTATATTCATTGTTACCACTTCAAATCATTTCGCTGTTCGCCATTTATGGCTTGTTGCTGCTGCTGCTGTTTCTGCTTAGAAACCTAAAAGATTGCAGCGTACTTCATATCTGATTAATGCACTTCTTCGATATTATATGAAATAATTTACAAACTTGTGCGTAATATAATTTAAAACTTTAGTCAGAACAATATTATATAAGCATTGTATGTATTTCAAATGATATCTGTTGAAATGCTCAAGTTTGGCTTGTCGCAGCGGAAAATTCAGCACAAAGCGCTCAATAATAAGATACGCAAACTCGTTCGGAGCAGAATCAAACTTTTGGCCTCTTTTCAAAATGCACTTAAATCAAGCGTAAAAAATAAAAGATTAAAAACAACAATTAGTCAAGTTTGAATTTTAATTAAATTTAATGTCAGTTCGTTCACATAATTTCCTTTGATAACATCAAAATTTTCATAGTTTTATCAGCAGATTAATCAGCAGACATATCTCATTTATTATCTGATTTATTTTATATCCACCATGAATCTACATTTTATAAATCGTGCAGTTAGAATCGCTAATCCCATTCCGGTCCCCATAAAATGTTGGTCCAGCAATCACAGAAATGTTATTCAGCGACAAATGAGCAAGAAGAGAACAGCTGACGAGGGTAAAAAAGAAAGTTGCACTGATGATGGACAGTTCTTCAGTGGGTGCTTTAAGAGTACGTATATAAATGATGCACATATCTTATATGCAACAAATTAAACTGTATGCAATCTGTAAGAACCCCCCAAGAGGGAAAAGTGTTCTGGCAATAGGCCAGTAAGAAAGGCGGGTTGCCGTAATTCGAGCGAGGATGGCCCATGCAGAGAAGGTCGGTAGACGAAGGACGAGAAAGTGAATGGAATAGTGCAACAGATATGCTAATAAGAAAACTAAAACATCTCTTGTAAAGTAAATTTCGAAATTTCCAAAATAAAATAATAAATAAAGCAATTGCATTAGCAGGAATTAAATTCGCCAGCTGCAATGAAATATTTTCAGCAGCTGTTCGCATGTAAGTTCAAACACACACACAAGGCAACTGGACTTGCACATATATATTTAATACATCAGCAGGGGCTGTCTCACCGCCCCACAACTCACCCCACCCACAATCGGCCAACCTGTGTGCGTCCTGGCCCTCAGTTATTGAGTGCCAGCGTACTGTGCGTACATTTTAATCCTATTAGAAGAATATTTCCTGTCTTCTTTTTTCACAATGCGGTCATTTTTTTTAGTCGTTGTCCGACATTCATTTTGACGGATAGCCATCCATCAGTAGTTACATGTAGTACATATAACTATGTCCTTTAGCTTGGCCACCTTTGCTTGCCATAAATGCTCTAAGGCGCATAGATGAAGGACACGGCTGTGAATCCATTAGGTAAGTTGATATTGCTAGATTTGTCCATGCTTATGAAACTTTCATTATGCCCATCAGAGGACCACAAAGGTAGAGGCATCATTTATATCTAGTATATGTCTGCAAAATTATTTTATCTTCATTTTCTTTTTATGTCTCAGTTCTTTGCACTCAACTAGACTGTAAATTGTCTAGCAGTCAAATGCAAATGCGCATTAGTTGCATTCAATTAAAGATATCTATTGTTGTGGCCCGTGTATGAGCCGTTCGACAATGAAGAGTGCATAGATTACACTTCCAAAGAAACGGACATTGCCATTAACAATCACATTAGAAGCAAACAAAAGAAAAGAAATTGGCTCGTCAACTTTTGACTGGAATATAAACTGTAAAATGGGCAGGTTCGCAAGGCAAAAGAGCAAAATGGCATCAGGTCACGTCGTCTAAGCCAGCTTCACAGATAATACTGATCGGCCATTTCCGCTTTATAAGTCTTTTGTAATCTCATTTAAATAATTGTGGCACAAACAGAAACACAGGCGGCTGCTGCTGCTGCTGCTGCTTTTGCTGCCAAGCGACGGTTTCAGCATAAAATACAAAAGCCGTAAAATCCGTCTATGCAATGCATTCCATAACAGGCAACAAGACATTTGGTCGTGGCCGGAAATTAATATGCAAAAACAGAAGTCCATTATACGCTTACCTAGACACACACACACACACATACATATATATACCCACACACAGACACATACATGGGATATAGAAAACGAACGGTCTGATTTTGAAAGGTAAAACAGATTTGGAAAAGTTTACCAAGGCTCATGTGATGTCCCCTAAATTAGTTTGTTCCAAAGCATTTTGATGGATTACAACTGGAATGTGGAATATGCATTTGCAGCACTTTTATGTTGCATAAGTTTGAGAAATACGCAACTTGAGGAATTATTGCGTAATTCTAATGAGGCAACATATTGCGCAATCGCAACCACATGTAGACACTGAGGATTCCACTGCAATGCGACGAGAAGCGGGCCACACTTGTTGACCTGGCTATAAGGAGATTTGTATGGCGCAGTGAAGCGTTCGCCGATAATCCGCTCATCAAACGTCAATACTGCTCGCATGGTTTGACTGTTTGTCTGTTTGTCTGTCTGTCTGTTTGTCTGTCTGTCTGTCTGTCAACTTGTTTACAAAGCATTCGAGCTCGCGCTTTGTGGCAGTCTGAGAACTGCTTACCCCAATCTGTGACTGTTACCCGGAGGCAACAAATTAATCACTAATACAATGGAAATTGTGCGGCTGCTGAAAGGATACGATGCGATGCGGTAGCAGTGGCAGTGATAGCTTTTTATTGTACTGCACTGCTCCTAGTTGTATTTCGATTTGATGTATAACCCTGGGGCCACACACACACACAGGCAAACAAGAGATTTGCTGGAATGTTTTTAATGCTATTTGCAGTGCATTATACAAATATTCATTTGAGGAACCATTAGTTAATAACAACAACTATTTGATTGAAAACATAATTATCGAAAATCTAATGTCAGCTTGATCTGAGCATGGTATTCGAAAATCT